AGCAAATTATTTAATTTCCAGTCTCCTACCCTAGGGCTATCACAAAGAATGAAGATCATGCAATGGACACAAATTTATTGAGTGACAACTCTCTGTGTGATACCGTTCTGATGGCCTCCTATTCACCCCATTATTGAAGGGGGGATTTACCACCCTAAATAGTACAAGATGGCCAAACATACCACACCTGACGCTGGACGGATGAGACTGACAGCAGTTTATTGGTTACAGACACTCACCCCCTGTGGGAGGACAACACATACCATGTAGGGTCACACAGGGGGGGCACTTGGGAGTCGAGTGAACAAGCAGGGGCTGCCTGCTACACAAGAGGCAGTAACAAGAAGACAGGGTGACCTCTGGTTCCCAGGGGAGGATGTGACTGGCTTAGGTTAGTAATTTCATAGGCTGGTAGGGAAGTAGAACTCCATCAGGTCGAGGGGCAGGCGGAGTATAGCTGGTCCAGCTAACAGGGGAAGTAGCCTAGTGGGGAGCCTTTCTCACGGGGTGGTGGAGTTGGGGGGAACATATCTGCTGAAAGCAGGAGAGCTCATGGTTAGCCCTCTGGGGTCACACGAGACTCAAAGATGTCCAGGCAGCACATGAAATTTTAGGCCTTACACTGTAGATACAAAAGAAGAATAAGACATGGTTCCTGACTGCAAAGAGCTTGAATGCTCCAGGCTGGGGTGAGAGAGGGGGCTGGGGGCACGGGATCGTCGAACTATTATAACTATTATAAATGATTCTGACTGTAAGCACAGGAGGACTTCCGAGCACGTAGAGGAAACTGGGTACAGTAACTGAGACAGACAGACTTCACAAAAAATATGGTACTTGGCTAGAACTTCAAAGGTGGGTAGGACGCATGGTTAGGAGGAGCCAAGCAGGGGGAGCATTTCAGAAGAGGAGTGAAGTGAGGAAGTCTTGCTTATGTTTAAAGATTACTCAATTCATTTATTCAAGATACACTTACTGAGGGCCTGTTCAGGGCACAGGCTGTCCAGGGAACAGGGTGAAAAAGAACCTCTAAGGACAGTGTGGGCCTTGTCTGTCAGGTTGCCCGGTCCAAGTTGGGGTGAACTCTGGGGCAGTGGCATCCCAGACAGGCATTGGGCCAGGCCTGCCACTCACCGAGGGCCTCCAATGTGGACTTTGGACATAATCTCCAATGAGGTAAGACAGAAATACACCAACAGGTAAAGATACTCAATTTGTAGTTTTAATTGCTGTAAACACTTAAAATATACTCCAATTTTAATCTTTTTCAGCATTTATTTTTTAATATACAAGGACCCTTAACAGAATGGTGTAGCCCTGGTGTACCTCCACTTCAGGGGGGTCCCACTGGCCAGGCTGCTCCTGGTGGTCCCACCCCCCAGAACCTGGTTGGCTCTTCAGGGCTCACCTCAGACTCCCTCCCCTTCAAGCCGTCTCAGCAGCCTGGGAGCACGCTGGGCTTGTTCTTGCCTGTGGTGCTTAACGCTCCAGCCAACTGAACTACCCAGCGTGTACGGGCAGCCACAAACAGAAAAAGAAGCCTCTGACTTACTGAAGGAGCACTATGTTCCTTCCAGAACAAGGCAGTCATTTTCGGGTTGTCCAGCATGAGTGTGTACCCACTGAGATATCTATGGGAGACTTATTTTACCTCTTGTACTTGGCAGGCTTCGCATGCAGATGCACACCAACGTGTCCTCAGGCTGTTCCAGCTTCATACCCCAAACGCCCTCTGAGAGGAGAGATTAAGGGGTGCTTTCTGGCTCCAGGAAATTCATTGTGACTTAACTCTCTCTTCCTTAGTGAATGACTATGTGCTATGTATTATTTACTTGTGATACGCCAAATAGTTTAGCTGGTGAGATATAAAGAGAAAGAAACCTCATCATATCTTCAGGAACTGACAATGACAACAACAAAAACTTAAAAAAAAAAGAGACAGAGAGAAGAAAACAAGCTTTCATGGATACAATTATCCCACATGGCAGCAAAAACGTCCAAAAGCTAAAATAGAAAATGACGAAAACTCTGAGGGCAAGAAATGAACTTGTCCCGGAATAAGTGTCTGTACAAATGAGCCCAGAGAGCCCCAGCACAGCCAAGTGATAGACTGGTCCTGGGGGAGGAGATGTGCGCAGACATCACATCAGCCATTCTAAGAACTGTTGGCAGATTTTAAAGACAACTGTGACCGTGTTCACCGTGGCCCCACCGGTGACGACGTTCTCAGAGCTGGACGTGAGGATGTCTCAGGATGTGCTGGGTGAGTTAGGAGGAGGCCATGCTGACCCCCAACGCGGGTATGACTTCAGCTGACACCTCAGTAGGAAAACAAAACATCCAAAGTCTGTTAAACACTCACTAAAGCAGACAGTGTCCTGGAACAGGGAGTTCCTGCGGCGCACATTCTTCAGGTGTGTGACATTTCAGATGGGTTCTCGCAGCCTGGAGATTATTTGGGAAACAAGCGGAGAAGTATTGTAAGACTGAGACAAATCACCGCTCACAGCCTGAAGAATTCTGACTGCATCTCCGCACTCTGGTTTTCTTTGGAGCCGAGTTGCTTTTCAACCATGCACGAGCTTAAAACCGACCAAAAGGGCTCTCACATGAAGTGTGGGCAGATGCAAACGTGAGCCTAGAGGATCCCAGAGGCTGGAGTAACGTGGGAATTGCTAACACACCCTTGTTGGCCGGACCCTCATAGGGCTGCTGCTTCGCTGCTTTTGATGGCTCGTGTGATCGGGGAGGTCCCTGTGCCTCGGCGGCTCCACCCAGGCCAGAAGGCACTGTGATTTCTGTCTTCTCTCTCCCAAAAGTTAGCCTTCCGGAATCGAAGGCAGCTTTGTGAAAGAGCAATTACATGAACAAGAGCACTTGTGAGTTCACTTTGTTTGACATGATACACAATCTGCACAGAAATGACCTGTGACCCCTGCATTTCATTTAGGTCAGTGTGGCCAGCACTATCCACCTCTTCCTCCTCTATGCAAATACTGTGAAGAAAAGAAGAAAACTGCCACTGTGGCAGGCCCCCGGGGGCGGGAAGCAGAAGAAGAGGGGAGGGCCATGAACCAGGAGGCCTGCCCTGCCAGCCCAGGGATCTCTGAAGCCTCGTGGTCAGCAGCCACCCTTATAGTGTCGGCATCCCCGCGTGGCAGGGTGGGGACACGGAGCTGCCGCCTCCGCCCACAGCTCCATGGGTCAGCATTTTGTATTTACAGAAAGTGTGTCCTCACCAAGTCGATAGAGTATAATTCGATTTTTCTCAGACGAGGACAGTTTAAGGCAATCTCGCCTCCCGGCTTTCCCTTGGGCCTCAGCTCCAGTTTAGACAGAGTGATCCTGAGTGAGCTTTCGACACTCGGATCTGATCCCAAGGCCTGGGGCTCCCTGAATAAAGGGGAAACCCCTGAGCTTGACACACAAGCCCCATTGTGAGCTGCTCCCTGCCTTCAGCTCTGGTCCGGATCCTGACAGGCATATCACAGCCTGACAGTGTTCTACCTACATGCTTGTTATTTCATTTTATTTCTATTGAGGCAAAATAGGCATAAAGTGCACTCATCTCAAGTGTACAACTTCATGATTTTTACATGTTTATAGCTGCATACATGAATACATGATCAACACCCGGATCAGTACCTAAGACCTTTCTCCACTCCAGAAGTTTCCCTTGTGTCCCTTCCCAGTCTATACACACCCCACCCACCACCCCAGGCTTTGCCTGTTCTTAAACTGTATATGAATAAAACTATACAATATGTATTATATGTCTGTATTCTTTTTTTTTCCTTCTTTTCCCAAAAGCCCCCCAGTACATAGCTGTACATTCTAGTTGTGAGTGCCTCTGGTTGTGCTATGTGGGATGCCGCCCCAGCATGGCTTGATGAGCGGTGCTATGCCCACGCCCAGGATCTGAACCTGCGAAACCCTGGGCCACCAAAGCGGAAAGCCCGAACTTAACCACTCAGCCACGGGGCCAGCCTCAATATGTCTGTATTCTTTCAATGTAACTGCTTGTGAATTTCATCCATGTTGTACATATATTTTGTTCATTTTTTCTTGCTGAGTAGTATTCCACTGTATGAATATATCACTATTTATTCTCTTGATTCCTTGTCATATTTCTCTTATGGCACTTAGCACAGTAGAAGGTTTGGAAGGCACGAGGAGGCCGAGGCCTGCCTGGGAGGCGGTTTTCTGAGGCGCAGGGAGACTCGCTGCTGCTGTAGAGGCTGACCTGAGGCCCGCAGCCTTGCCAGCCTGCACTGTGAGCCTACGCAGGGACCCAGAGCACCGTGTCCTCAGGATGCAGGGAGACAGCCAGCACCCATCCATTTATGAGCGAGGTATGGGGGTCATAGATTCAGGTGAAGACATTTCATACATTGTTTAAATGGTTGTGTAATGTTTATGTAGCATTTCTTCCAAGGAACTATGAATACATTTAAATAATGAGTTGCCACAACATCCTGGTAAATAGGCTGTTGGAATTTACAAATGAAGAATTTGGTACAAGAGGAAGAACTAATGCTACCCAAGGCAGCCTGTAAGGAAAACAATCGGCTTTAGTCATATCTCTGCTTTGCTTTTCCTCAAGCCTAGGAGGCAGGACAGCCAAGTGGCTAACGCTACAGGCCCCCAGGCCAGAGGGCACGGTTGGAATACGTGCCTCGGCTCCCACCTCTGTGGGTGGGCAAGTTGCACTGCCTCTCCCTGCCTCAGTGCTGCCACCTGGAAGAATGGCACGGTGACAGGAGTTCAGTGAGCTGACAGAGGCAGGGCGGTTAGAACAATGCTGGCATGGCAACCGCTAAAAAAGGTTGAGAATTGCAGCTTTTACAAAATTGTCCCATTTGCAACAACATGGATGGACCTTGAGGGTATTATGTTAAGCGAAATAAGCCAGACGGAGAAAGACAAACACCATATGAATCACTCGTGTGTGGAAGATAAACAAACACATGGACAAAGAGAACAGTTCAGTGGTCACCAGGGGGAGGGGGCTGGGAGGTGGGCACAGGGGCTGAAGGGGCGCACTCATGTGGTGATGGACAGATAACAATGTACAATTGAAATTTCACAATGTTATAAACCATCATGACCTCAATTAAAAAAAATTTATCCTTTGTCAAAAAAAATTGCAGCTTTCATTGTCATCACTTTCCTCATTCTCAGAAAGTTAGATCACATTTAGGCATTACTAATCACGAAGGCCTCAGCTTGAAGTCATGGTGACGAAACAATCAGTTTTAAATTCCTGAGGGATGGGTATTTCCAGGGAAGTGTCAGTGCTGGCGACACTCGACACACATTCTTCTGATGGCAACTATAAGGAGATTAGGAGAAAAAGACCAAACATTAGTCAAAGCATGCCAGGGTGATTAAAACGTCACAAATAAACATCCCAAAGTGATTAAACTGATTTAAATAAATATATTGTGTTAGGGACACTGTCACATACACATACAGTGTTCTGGAAAAGCAGCCGTGAAGTGTTACTAGAACTGAGGCCTCTTCTGGGATGTTGCTAAGGAAAGTTCACAATCTCGGGCTGCTAATTAAAATTACTTCTACTTATTGCGCATAAATTAGGTCCTAATAAGGTGAGAAAATAGTTAAAGAATGAAAATAGCTTCTCTGCATAAAAACAAATCCAGGGAGCCTTCCACCCTCAATTCTATCTTGTTTCTCCTCAGCTGCAGTTGGATACAAAGAAAACAGCACTGACAGCAGAGAGAAAATCAAAATGGAATCTTTCATGTAATTAGCATACACAGTCCACACAGGGCACACAGAAGACGGGTGAGCGGTGGAGAGCGAAGTCTTTGCAGGCATTGAAAGACAAGCCCCGCAGGCTTTTGAGCTCTGACCAGTCCAGAAGTGAAGGACAAGTGCCCAGGAGAGATTATGATTTCAAGCCAGAATGATGTGAGTATGAGAAGTTGAGGATTAGTGTCAGAAGAACCAAATTAAGTCATAATCATTTATACCTTTCAAAGGTTCCTCTTAAAACATAACTTGATGAATGTGTTCAAGTTCCACTCTTAATGAAAATAATTATTTTTGGATAGCTAGTGAGAGAGAGAGAGAGATGCAGGAAGTCTGAATATATCCATGTGTTGGATTTTCAAAAACGTCAGAGGCCCAGTGGGACTTCACGGAGAAGGCAAATTCCGGGTTGCCAGTTCTTGGTAAGATTCCTAAAGACAATGAGGGGGTGGGCATTGGGTCTCCTGAAATTGGAGATCACAGTCTGGAGACCCCTTAGCTGAAATCTGCCTGCAAACCCATTTTTGGTGATCTACACTGGGTTAAAAATGTTTTTGAACCCTAACTCTCAAAAAAGAAATTAATCTTTTTAAAAACCCCAGTTTCTGGCTTCTCTCACAGGCGTCCTGGTGGCCGGGCAGGCGGGCCGCCTACCCACAGTGGGCAGGGTCTGGGAGGGGCCGCTCCTGAGGCAGTTTGGCGCAGTCCCGTTCGTCTGCCGCCCCCCCGCCCCCCCCCCCCCCCCCCCCCCCCGTCTGTTATTGCTGGGCGGGAGGGTTTTGAAGTTTCACCCTGGCCAAGGATACTTATGTTGGTGGAGGTGTCTTAGTGGGGAGGAACTGTAGGGCCTTTGGAAAACCTTTTTCAAGGCAAAATATATCTGTGTCAGTTTGAAGGCAAACAGATGGGAGTATTGTGGGCTCTCTTTGGGGATCCTAATGGACAGGATTTTTTGCCCCACCTGTAAGACGCAGCAGTCACTTCTCAGGCAGCTCTCGGGGTATGAATATTTGGCTAACTCCTTCCAGGCTGAGCTTCTCCAGAGCAGGGCACGCAGTCTCATTCATCGTGTCCTCAGCAGGTGTCTGGCACAAAGCTGGGGCTTAATAAAGATTTATTGAATGAATAAAAGGTCCCTGTAATATTCTCCACCCTCTAAATTGAGCATGAGAACGTATTTGCTTTTTAAAAAAGAGTCATTCAGTTCTCTGGGTATCATCTCTCCCTACCGCGCGTGAAACTTTCCATTCATCCTGTTGACCCTTGTGACCCTCAGGAAGTTGTCCTGTTCACCAGCAAGCCAGAGGGGAAACTTACTGGGCCGCCCCTCGATGCCTTCCAGCACACGCCGGCCTCCTCGGAGGCGCCAAGGGTGTCCCGCCAGACCGCCTGCTGCGTGACAGGGAGGAGGGGCCATCTGCCGCTTGCACATCTGAGCATTACAGCGTTTGAATGAGGGCACGATGACTTCCACAAACGCCGTGAATGCTTCTTGTGTGAAGCAGCTGCTTTCACTTTGTTGAAAGGAAACCGTTTTTCAGCGTTCCAATGTACTCGGCCAGATTTTCGCCGGGAGGATGATGAGCCAATGCTGGCTGTTTGTAAACCCTGCTTATTAACCAGGGCTTCCAAACTCAGCAGCCCACGGGGTCAGGCCGGCCCTGGACAGGAGCGAAACTCTCTGGGCCGTGGGGCAGCCGCTGCTCCGCTACAGCCGCCCATGCAGGGATCCCCTCCCGGCTACACAGGGACCTGGGACCCCCTGAAAAGAAACGGGGGTTTTATTTTTTTCCTTGGTTTATTCTTAATGACGCACTTTGGAATCTTTACAAAAAAAGAACCACATGAATGTATTTAACTCACAAAGTACTCATGTGGAAATGAATCAGTAATATTAACTAAAGACAACATAACCGTTCTGCAGGCAGCTGGAACAGTAGTGCACATTAGCAGGTATACGTGTGTGTATTTTTTTTTTTTACCACAGGTAATTGATATTTGTTTTAAGAATGCTTTTTTATTCCAAACTGGGTTTTTCTTTTTCTATCAAATAACCATGGGATGGAAATGCATCCTTGCCCAGAGCTGTTTTGTTTTGAATGTGGGGAAGGAAATGGGAAAACTTTTCAGGCTTTGATGCCTGGACCAGATTGCTTTCTGACTCACAATGAGGCCACAGAGAGGCCACGTGACTAGGACAAATGCTGAGACCCTGCATGGGCCAAAGCCAAGCAACGGGCTAGGCCCCTCTGGCTTCATTTCTTTATTTTGTAGTAATAAGGAAAATAAAGACAATGATATTATCATTTCCATTCTGCCTGTGTGTCTTACTTTGTGGGGAAAAAACGTTGTGACTAAAATTCAAGCCAATTCTGATTTTTAAGTTTTTGTTTGTAAAGTGGAGAGATTAACGACTACCTTGTAGGATTTTTGTGAGCGTTGATGTCTAACATCAGGAAGTACCTAGCAGAGTCCCCAGTGCATGGTAGAACTGGAGAGGTAGTAGGTAGTGCTATTGCTGTTACTTCGTACCTTCACGTACGATTCCTAACCCTGCTGCTCCAAGGGTGGTCTGGGATCGGCAGTGCCAGCCCCCTCGGGCTGCTTGTTGGGAACGCAGGATGTCAGTCCTCCCCCCAGACCTACCTGCCTCGCCCATGGGGCTGCTATAACAAATTACCACAGACAGGGGGGCTTAAACAACAAATATCTGTTTCTCACTGTTCTGGAGGCTGGAAGTCCAAGATCAGGGTGCTGGCATGGTGGGGTTCTTGTCGAGGCCCTCTTCCTGGTTTATAGGGGGCTGTCTTCTTGCTGTGTCCTCACAGGGCAGAAAGACAGCAAACAAGCTCTCTGGCCTCTTCTTACAAGGGAACTAATCCCATTCATGAGGGCTCCACTCTCCTGACCTAATTGCTTCCCAACGGCCTCCCCTCCAAATACCATCACTTTGGGGATTAGAGTTCAACATATGAGTTTTAGGGGATGCAAACTTTTAGTATATAATACCTATCTGAATCAAAACCTGCATTTTAGCAAGCACCCAGGTGATTGGTGTGCCCAGTCAAGCTGGAGAAAGCACAGCTTTATAAAGGGAACTCTGTACTTAGAAGTCTTCATATTTTTTTTTTTTTTCCTTTTTCTCCCCAAAGCCCCCCGGTACATAGTTGTGTATTCTTCGTTGTGGGTTCTTCTAGTTGTGGCATGTGGGACGCTGCCTCAGCGTGGTCTGATGAGCAGTGCCATGTCCGTGCCCAGGATTCGAACCAACGAAACACTGGGCCGCCTGCAGCGGAGCATGCGAACTTAACCACTCGGCCACGGGGCCAGCCCCAGAAGTCTTCATATTTTAAGCGTTCTTAAATGGTGTTCAGAAAGTTGAATTCTTTTGTACCATCTATATTTGCTATATCTGTGTTCCATGTGTGTCATTATTTACTTAACACATATTTTGAATAGTCTTAATTAAAAAAAAAGACTTCAGTCTCCTGCTAAACAGCTATTAATGGGTTTGATATCCCAGCTACATTTATTTCTAATATATTTTGAAATAAATAGTTAACTATTAAGTTAAAAAGGTCCTCCATGTGCCACCGAAGGCATCCTGGTGCCCCAGGGCCCACACATCATCTTTCGGGCAACATTTTCCTGGGGGGACTCACCATTTAAAGAAGGTTGTGCCAAATGATTTAATAAAGTGAAGACTCCTCAGTCAGCCCTGATGGCCTAGTGGTTAAAATTTGGTGCACTTTGCTTTGGCACCTTGGGTTCAGTTCCCCGGCACAGAACCACACCACTCACCTGTCAGTAGCCACGCTGTGGTGGTGGCTCACATAGAAAAACTAGACAGACTTACAACTGGGATACACAAATATGTACTGGGGCTTTGAAGAGGGGAAAAACAAAGCTTTTCTTTTAAAAAGAAAGAAATGAAGTGAAGTCTCTTTTTCCAATCTGGGTAAATACTCTCTGGTTTTTCTATTTTGTCAATTCAAACTGAGGCTTCATGATGAGAAAAGATTTTACCAGTCTGATAGACTACTTTCTAGCATGTATCTGGCCAGATTCCTTCCTCCTTTCTTTCCTAACTTCCATCAACATCTGTTCAGCAACCACCATGTGCCAGGCCTTGCGTTTGGCATGGGAGACAAAATGAAGGAAGACAGTCCTCTTTCCTAGGTTGTGATAAGTGTAGTAGAATGTGACAAGGGTGATGGCAAAGCAGTGCCCAGGACACCATGGAAGCACAGAGCAGCACACCTGGCCTAGCCATGGGATAGCAAGGCTTCCTGGCCAGCAGTGGAGTCTTTGCTCAAACCCAGAGGATTGGCAAGGGGCCAAGGGGAAGGCATACTAAAAAGGGGATATATTGTGGGCAAAGCTGCAGAGCAAGAAACAGTAAGGCAATCTCCCAGAGTCTCAGCTTCGTCATTTGTGATGTGAAATAGGAGTGATACTTGCCTCATTAGCTCACATAGAACAAAAACACTAAGGTATGTGCTTATCTGGGAGAATTACGTGTCTGCATATTCAGAGCTAGACAAAGAGAGACGCAGGGCCAAGTAATAGCTACATTTCCACTCCTATTATATATCCAAGAGAAATGAAAACATGTCCACACAAAAATCTGTGCACAAGTATTCATAGCATCATTCATAATAGTCCCAAAGTAGAAACAACCCAAATGTCCATCAACTGATAAATGGATAAATAAAATGTGGTATATCTATACAATGCAATATTATTTGTCAATAAAAAGAAACGAAGTATTGACACATGCTACAGTATGCATGGACTTTGAAACATTATGCTAGGTGAAAGAAGCCAGAAACTATAAATCTATAAATTTATAAGGACAAAAGTAGACTAGTGGTTGCCTAGGGCTGGAGGTGGGGTGGCAAGTGATTGCTAACGAGTACTGGGTTTCTTTTAGGGGTGATGAAATGTTCTAAAATTGTGGTGATGGTTGTACAACTCTCTGAATGTTGTAAAAACTATTGAATTGTACACTTCAAATATTTGAATTGTGTGGTATGTGAATTATATCTTAATAAAGCTATTATTTTTTAAAGTAGTAACTAACACTCTCACAGCATAACATAGGCACAGTTCTCAGCATTGTATATGTGTAAACTATTTTAATACTTACAATACCCAATGAGAGTGGCACCATGTCAGTCCCCAGAGGAGACTGCCCAGGGCCACACAGCCAGTAAGTGGTAGGGCTGTGACGTGAACCCAGGGAGGCTGGCTCTGGCATGTACACACTTAACTTCCACTCTATACCATCCTGTCTTGGGGACCATTAAAAGCTTCAGTTTTGTTTTTATTTTTAAAGATTTTATTTTTTCCTTTTTCTCCCCAAAGCCCCCCAGTACATACTCGTATATTCTTCGTTGTGGGGCCTTCTAGTAGTGGCATGTGGGACGCCGCCTCAGTGTGGTTTGATGAGCAGTGCCACGTCCGCGCCCAGGATTGGAACCAAAGAAACACTGGGCCGCCTGCAGCGGAGCACACGAACTTAACCACTCGGCCACGGGGCCAGCCCCAAAAGCTTCAGTTTTAGACTCAGATAAACCTGGCTTCTGATCTTGGCCCTGTCACTTACCCGCCAAGTGATCCCGGGCAAGTTCTGAAGTCAGTTAGTTTTCTCGTGTTAACTGGAGATAATAATAAGGTGTGCCTTGTAGGACCTGTATTCGGCATGGGGACCATCTGTAGTAAGCTGTTACTGACGGCAAGGTCCTTCCTTTATGTAGCATTGTCACTGGTTTAAGAACTAAAAAGCACACACAAATTGAATCAGCAGGCAGCCTAACGCTGTGGAGACTTGAAGAGTCAGCTTATTATTTCTGCAAGTACAGAATTTTGTTTTCCACATAGAAAGGGCCTGGTAAACTAGTGGTCTGGCATTCTACCATTTACATAACTTAAAATTAAATGTTTAAATGAGGATAAAAATATTTGCCACATGCGCTAAGCTTTTGAAATGTTAAGGACTTGCTTTTATTGCATGAAAATAAGCAGAAGTGTGGGACGGAGAAAGAAATGTGTGACTTCCCCAGCACTGGCCTGCAAGGGCAGAGTGACCTTACAGAAGAAGGATGCCAGTAATTTTCAAACTAATCTAATTTTAAATTTCTGGATTTTCATTTCATCTTGTAAAGACACACTTACTCTTGGAAGGAAAAAGCCCCAACAACATTAGCGATAAATGAAGTTATGTAAGTTTTGCTGGCAAACCCACACTGCACTGTGCTACGGAGCTCATTTGCAAGTCAGGGAAGCAGAGCAGAGTCCACCACAGTCCTCTCAGTGCCAGGAATGTTTCTTTGAGCACAATTTGTGACCAGAATTTACTTATTTATTTTTATTTTGGGGATGGAACAGCTTGCCACGGTGTGGTTCAGTCTCTTCTTTCATGTCCTATAACTTCTAACCCTCAAGGAACCAGCTCCTGCCCTAGATTTCCACGCTGTGGGAAACGTGCCACCATCCTTTCAGTTGTTCAGATCATCCTTGATTCCCCCTTTCCTCTCCCATGTCCAATCTGTGGGTACATTCTGTAGGCTTCCTCCAAAATATATCTTGAAACTTTTCTCTTCTCTCTGACTCCTTTGCCTCTATTAATCTAAGCTATCTGCCTCTCCTGCCCAGACTACCATGATAACCGTCTAAATGCTCCCTCTGCCTCCTACACGCTCCCTACAGTCGGTCCTCCACGGAGCAACCAGCGAAAACACTAATCAGGCCAGTCTCCTGTTGACAGCCCATCAAAGTCAAAATCCAGAGATACAGTTGGAATATGAACAGGTGTTCAACATCATTAATCAGCAGGGAAACTAAAGTTACAGCAACAAGGACCCCACTGCACACCTGCCAGACTGGGGAGAATTTTAAAAACTAAAAAGACTGATAATGCCAAGGATTGCTGAGGATGGAGAGGAACTGGAACTCTCATGCTGCTGGTGGAAGGGAATATTTAATGAATTTGGAAAATCGTTAGGCAACATCTAACAAAGCTAAACATTGGCTGACGCTGTGACCCAGCAATTCCCCTCCTAGGTACGGACCCTGGATAACTGAGCGCCCATGCCCACTAAGAGATGCTCCAGACTGTTGATACCAGCTTTCTCTGTAACAGACAAAAGCTGGCAACAATCTAAATGTCCATAAATACTACAAGAGATAAATGATGTTGTGTTTATATAACAAAATACAAGTAACAAAAAAAGAGTGAACTACTGGCATACACAACAACATAGATGAATCTCTCAGATTAAGCAATTGAAGATAGACAAAAATTTGTATCATATGATTCTGTTTATAGGTTCAAGAACAGGGAAAACTAATCTGCAGTGACAGAAAGCCAGCTAGCGG